TATTAGGTGGCAATCGCCTGTTAAACAAACCTGTATCTACGTGGTTAGCATTAGTACTTGCAAATGATATATATATATATCATTTGCAAGTATATATATCTTTGATAGTGTTCAGTGGCAATATGCAATATTTTTAATGAACTCAGTCTGTTCATTAAAAACATGTATCTAATAATTGTTTGCTTTAATTCCTTTTAAGGTCGTAACGAAAGTGACTGGAATTGTCACTTTGGTACAGATCAGTGCAACTCCATTACAAGTGGTACAGGTTCATTTCAATGGAGACGAAACTCTTATAGTACTCCATTATCATCAACAGGACCGTCAGCAGACCATACGAATGGATATGGTACGTCAACGTCCATATTTCTATCGTCTTGGAGTGTCAGGTATTCTGTGTATTAGGATTTTTTAATAGCAGAAACAGAGAGGAAACGCATCTTGGTGACACTCGACGGTTTTAACTCGGGGTGTCTTGTGACATGTCTCTTGTTTGTCCGTAGGGTACTATATGTACACGTATGCTGGATTTGGTTTTCCCAATTCAACTGCCAGTTTGAAGTTGCCTATCATTCGTTTCGACGGTCAGCACTGCCTGCGGTGGTTCTACCACATGTATGGATCTGACATGGGGACACTGAACGTCTATGTCTCCCAACCTCAGTATTCTGATATGTTAGTATGGACAAGGTCTGGAAACCAAGGAAATATTTGGTGGCCAGCGTCTACGTCTGTTTTCATCAATGCAAGTTTATTTCAGGTGGGTTATGATTCATACGGTGGTTATGATGACAACTATTTGCAACTTTTGCAATTCAGCCTTTGTAGACTTTTTCAGCGTAGACTTTTTTTACGTAATTTTTACATTTAGAAAAAATATATATGTCTTTTAGAAAAATAAACAGGTGACTAATTATCTGAAATAAGAATGTGTACTTAAATACTTTTGATACTTTTGTCACAATTCATGTATAGAAATAACTATTAATACTTTATTCATGAAATGCAAACGTATCAATGTACAGGTTCGGTTTGAAGGTATCAGAGGATCTGGCTACACCAGTGACATGGCAATCGATGACATTGATATAACATCTGGTCCCTGCAGTAAGAATTATCGTCTTATTTCTGGCACTTGTTTAAATATTTTGCAACAACATTTGCAACATATCTTATCAATAAGCATGCAACGAAATTTTTCCTGCCGTGCTTTTTATCCTGTATAGGATTTTTGTGAACAACAACAACAGTTGGTCCAGCTATCTGGATTAGTCAGGCGAGGTAGTTTTATTCTTTATGTTATGACTGGCTGTCATGATACTTTTATACAAGTTGATACCTAATATAAATGGTTTTGATTATCACTGCAGTTTGTCAACCTGACCAGTTCCGGTGTAATGATTCACAGTGTGTACCTCTGTCAGCAAAGTGTAACGTCCATGTTGATTGTCCGGATGGGAGTGATGAAGAAAACTGCAGTAAGTATACGCACTCCTAATGACCGATTTTCTTTGTTGACTCTGTGAAGATGTGAGGGTAACCTACAACTGCTGTAATACTTTAGAACTGCATTAATTATGTGTTCTCCCATATTTTGATGGGTTTGAATTTTGTAGGTAAGGTTTGTTATTAAAGGTTATTAAAGCAATATAAAGCTATTGATGCATTTGGTGTTTACGCCTTGGGGTGTTTATGCCAACTAAGATACATAAATACACCGTCCGACTACATATATACATATGCCCAACAAAGATTAACTTCTCGTTGGTCACCCTGCTTGTGTTAAGTTGTTCACATTCTGTCATTCTTTTGTGGGGTCGAGTGGCGCAACGGCAGAGCACTCGACTCGGAACCAAGATTCGATCTTGTGCCCTTTACTTACACGATTTCCGTCACTTAACTCAAGTGAAAATGACTATTGTTTGTCCTTTATTTTGTTTCTATGTGTGGGACCAAACACCAGCAACAGCTGCCTGTGTTCCACGTGTATTGCACTGTTGCAATTTCAACAAAATAAATCAAATCAAATCAATCAAATCAGAACGTTAGATTTTCCTTTTTATTAGTCTGTTTCTTCATTCAAGCATGGCGTGAACCACAGTTGCACAACTTGAGTCAGTCGCTTTGCGTTATCTACAATTATGGACCGTAAATGATGAAAATTGCGTAGAAAATTCTTGATGAGTTTTATTTTTCATTAGCTTATCCGTTTGAGGGGGGTTTGAGATGTAACTTTCAAGACGATCATTGTAACTTGACGAGAACTGCTACCGGGAGCTTTCGGTGGATTCGACAATCTGGTGGCACCCCATCATCTTCAACAGGACCATTCGTGGATCACACAAATGGATTGGGTAAGTTAGCCGTTTTATTGGCAATTGTCATTGGCAGTTGGTTCAAAACGTTCAGATATATCATCCTATCGTTTGCAATCATTTTATCAATGAAAGTGTCAAAATAGAAACGTGATTGTTTTGTAGTGTTTATGATGTTTAATATAGCATTGCAACATTTAGCTATTCTAAATATCAGCTAGGAACGATATATAGGTAACTCAAGGTTTCATCTGTTGACCTATTTAATCTGCAGGGTTTTATATGTACACGGAAGCTAGTAGTGGTTTTACTGGTGCGACGGCCAGTCTGACGTCGCCCTACATTCGCTCTGCCGGTCAGCACTGCCTGCGGTGGTTCTACCACATGTATGGGGCGACCATGGGGACACTGAACGTCTCTGTCTCTCAACCTCTGTATCCGGACATGTTATTGTGGACAAGATCCGGAGACCAAGGAAACCTGTGGTTACCGGCCTCAACATCTATTTCGATCAATGCTGCTGTATTTCAGGTCAGTGACATGGTGTATTGTGGTGTTAAAGACAAAGATAACAAAGACCTTAGAAAACTGGCAATTCTATCCATTTCAATGTTTTGCGAACATTGTTTGACATGACTATGGTTTATTTGAGTATACATATGTGTGTGATATAGATATGTATGGTAATTATATTCTTTACTGATTGTTACAATGTAATCAATATGTTTGAATATTTTCGTAATACAACTGTATGTAAAGCGTTACGTGTTCCTGCACACACACACACACACACACACACACACACACACACA